AGGTTTTATCAGGTTTTTAATTTTCTGTGTGTATAAATTTTTGAAAAATGTGCTTCCACACTATAGTGGTTTACACATTTGCCTAAAGAGCAAGAGTTACCCACTCTGTCTATCCCTTGTCAATAATTAAATTTTGTTTTTTCAAAAATCTTCTCTCATAAATGTTTTACAGATCCTTTTCTTATGTTCTGTCACACATGTACTGCTAAATGGTAGATCCTCAAAATAAGATCATTTCTAGATGAGCCCTTTGATCCAACATTTCAGATTTCAGATTGCTCCAAATGCTCTGTTAAAAGCTGTTTATCATCCACTTAGAGTTTTACAATGTCACTCTGAGCAGATATCTCTATAAATGGTCATCACACAGGAGGCTCCTCCTCCTTCTGCTTAACAAAGCGCCTCCTTTTAGAGGAAAAAATAAGGTTTAGTTTGAACTGTGAAGCATGCAAAACTTCTCTAATAGAGTCAAAAAATAAAACGTAGCCAAAATATTAAACAATGTATACATTTTTTAAAAATATATTTGTCCTGGCTCTCTGCCTTTGAAAACTACATCCCTTTCCCCGAGATTTTGTCAGCATTCAGCAGTTTCCCCTCAGGCTAACTATAAATGAATATTCCTAGTTTCAGACAAAAATGTCAAGCACTCACTGTGCGCCTTTACCCAACACAAACAGGCTACGCTGGGAAGGAGCTTAACCTTGCAGACTTTAGTTGCTAAAGTTGATTTCTCAAGTCAAAATCAGAGCATAAATAAACTTTTTTGATTTTGAGTTTAAGTCGGTTTACAGTGATTTCTTGCTTTTTCGCTAAACAAAAACATAATGAAAAGCTTTAGTCATCCAGGTCTGACTATAACTAGAAGTCTAGATGTACCATATCTACTGAGCCTTTGTAATATCTGGTAATGTCTTCAATCACGTTAATTTAAATTAATCAGTTAATTAGTTGGTTAATGAAAGCAGTTAAAATCAGCTCAGTTAGGAAAACTCTTTCCATTAAAACAGTTTTTCTCTAATGTGTCTATAGGCAGCAGTGATGATGCTGTGATGCAGCTGCTCCCGTTGGCCATGAAACTCTTCTACAGGATGGTGGACTGCGGCGCCCCCTTCCACCTCACCCTCATTAACGTCTGCTTCAGTAATCTGCAGACCAGAGCAGCTGCCGTCACCGGGAAGGGCTCGATAACATCGTTCTTTTCACAGAGCACATCTCCCAAAAAATCCCAGGCCGTCTTATCGCAGTGCCAGGTAAAATGTAACGTGGCTTGTCAACACTGTTAGATAATCTTAGTTTGATTTTTCCATAAAAAGGAAAATGAAAGGGGTTGTAATAAAAAACATAGTAAAATCTTTTAACTGTAGCCTATAAAAGTGAATTTTTTTGGATTGCCCGCTAAGGCCTTCAGAATCACTCATAAAAACTGTTGGATCTGATTTCTGTCTGATTAGGGCTGCAAATAACTTTATTTTCTATCATATTAGTATATGAATTAATTAATTAATTATAAAATGTCAAACCATAATGGAAAAAAAACAAATCAGTCACTCTTAATATGTCTTATTTTGTCTCAACAGCCCAAAGAAATTAATTTTACCTTTCTTTGTGACAAGGAGAAGCTAGGACTTGACCATTTGTACAGTTTCTTAATTTTGTCTGAATGGCAGGAATTATTTATCATTTTCTTTCATTCCTATTACTAAGCGCCATTAGAGTTGCACTCGACAATTTCAATACTACGATTTGCAGTAGCTGGATCACTGAGGATCCACTGCCAGCATCCTAATGTTATAGACACCCAGAGGATTTTTGTCCATACTCTGATGGGTCAGAGATATTGAGCCAGCCATGGAAACCATGGCACATCACTATAGGCAAATTGATGTAATGAAATCATTGGATTTCCTGTTCTAAAAATATGCTACTGTAACCTGATTACCACCATTGGCAGTATTCCTCTTTCTTATTTGGCTGTTCAGGGCAAATATTTGTGGGTTTCTAAAAACACTCCAGAGCAACTTCAGGAGTTTTTCCTGACTTAAAATTAGCCTTTCAGAGTCAAGTATGGACGTAAGCACAACTAGTCATCATATTCTTGAGGCAATAAGTGTGTGTAACCATACGTAAGAGAGGTCCGCACATTATTTCTGGCCATGCTTGAGGAAATGAAAGCCCACTTAAAATATTACAACCCCTGCGATTTTCTTTTTAGGTAGCAAGAAAACGTCTTTGTTAAGTGCCAAATTTATTATTCCGAAGAAAAACTGAACTGTGTTTAAATAAGTAATGACAGCTGAAACTTTCCTTCATGTTCTGCCTCAAAATGTCATTAAAGACATAATTTATCCAGATCATGTGGTCTGAGCTGATGGGCTTTCATGAAACATGTTTAACTTGAGTGGACTTCATATGTAACCAAACTCCATGAAAACGCTGCTTTGTGTTAGCAGTGGGAAGTCCTGAAAAATGTATTTAAGGCCATATTGGCTCTACTTTGAACATCATGATCATGAAATAGGTATTAAATTAAAGTCAAAGTGGTATTAGAAGGGTTCTTAAGAAATAATTAATGTTGGTCAGTAGAAAGGCTGTTCTTTCACACTGCCCAGTTACCTAATGCAGGATTTTTCTTTCCTGGAAGGAATGTGCTAGTACTCTGAATTTCCTCACTTCACTTTTGTTCCTCTTTCATTCTCCAGTGTGTTGATTCCTCTCAGGGTATTGATATGGATCATCAGTTTGGCACAGATGGCATGATTACTCAACACAATAAACAACCCGCCATACAAAGCTCTTCTAGTTCTTCTAGCTCTGAGGCACCATTACACGGGTTAAGATGGAAACAGAACTCTGCTGTCATTGTAGAAGAGACTCGAAATGCATCCTGCAGTACAGCTGGGTGCGACCCTGACGAAACTGCTAACGCTGTGACACGGTTGCCTCCCAATGTTGACCCGGAGGTGTTCAAGCTTCTTCCAGAGGACATCCAGAAGGAGCTGTTATCTCCTGCTTATGTGAGCTCCCTGTACAGCACTTCTAGCAGCCAGTCAGGCACTGATGTCCCCAGCACATCAAAAAGCAAACTTCCTGAGACACTTACAGACTCAGAAAGTATTAGTGACACAAAAGATGCTGCAAACAAGTTGAACTCTTCCAACAGAGTGACCACCGTCAATCACCAGGGGAAGGCAGGTACAAGCGCATTCCCAGAAGAAGAAGTCATGGAAGAAGGGGGTCTGTCATTCCCCCGGTTATCTGACTGCGAGTTCCCGGGAAATGTGGACCCTAAGGTGTTTTCTGAGCTTCCGCCAGATGTTCAAAGGGAGCTGATGTCTGAGTGGAAACAGCAGAAGCCAATTCTGAAGACTTCCTCATCTAAGAAACCAGGAAAAAGCTTGATGTCCAAAGACAGAAAGGCTCCAGGAAAAGGCAGCCAGGCCAACAACTTGTTCAAGTATTTCAAACCCAGTTAGAAACTATGTCACGAAGATAAATGAAAGTTTTCTTGATGTTGGGTTGTTGAACAAACTGAGCAACTTTTCTTAAGTAATTTATAACCTAAATTGACTCAGATGACCTTGAATGTCAGAAAGTTTGTTTTTCTTAAGCATTAAATAATTGATATCTAATACTGTGTGATATCTTTACCGTGTGTATAAAATATATTTTCTATCATACAACATATTATAATGGTAGATGTTCATATTAAACATGGTCAAACCATTTTTTGTGAGAGGCAACCAATCTGTATGTAGTTCACGTAAAGGAAGGGGGACTTTAAAAGGAGGGGTATACTAAGCTTTTAATCCTGCTTTTAACTGTTTAAGTATATATAGAAAAGATACAGAACCTGCCCAGCAATAAAGGAGGAAATTAACTGATTCCATCAATGATCAGTAGTTAAGCTCAATAATGGAATAACTAAACTATAACCTTAAAAATGAGTATGAGCAGAAAGCCTCACTTCAGACATTACTGATTAACCTGACAGTGCTGACAATTGATATATATTTAAAGTTCTTTTTTTTGTACCACAGCACATATAAGTGACATAGTTTTCCTTTTTAGAAATAAAACCTTTTATAGAACTTAAAAACGTCTACAGGCCGCTTTGTTTTTAGAAGCAGGATTACTTCACTGAGCCTCCAGACGTGAGGCCCGTTTTTTTGGTTGGACCATTTCCACTTAAATCCACAGACGATCCAGTGTTCAAAGAGCCCTTTTTCCTCGTAAATAACAGCGGAAAACACAAGGGTCTGTAAACACAGCAGAAGCTGGTATTAAACTCCTCCCTGGATCACATGTAGCACAGGGGAAAGGTTCAGGCTATGCAATGTACCATCGAATGATGATAGTGGTTATTTAATAAGAACAAGCGGTGCAACTTGTGAACGGATGTTTTCATTTTCTCCACGTAGACTGGTAAGATTTTAAAGTTTTAATGGTTTGTGTGTGCTGAGGGTGTAGTATTGATGTTTGGACTATTTAGAAAATTACTAAAGTAATGTTTTGTGTTAATCTAGTCAGTCTTTTTGTTAATCATTAGAGGGTTAATTAAGCAGCATCCTTGTCACTTGATTGCACAGAGTAAGATATAGTAATATCTCTTTTAATGTAGTTTTTTTTAAGTACATAAGGGAGTAAGAAAAATACTTTTAACTATTTGGCATCATTAAATGGGATTTCCCATCCTGCCTTTACTGGACTAGCCCCAGCTGACAGTGTAAGCAGTGTATGCGATGACATAGTTGCGTCATGCACTGCTGAGCTGTCTGCCCATAGCTCTTTAAGTCAATAAAAGGACTTCTGTGTGCCAAACAAGCTGGGTTTTGCTAAGCAAAGTTAGAGAAAACTCTGGAGAGGCATTTGACTGCTCATGTGGAAGCCAGCTCCAGTCATGTGCTAGTCCTTCTCTGATCAGTGCCTAATGAGTGGGGAGTTATGACGTCCTGCTAAGCCTGTGTGATGGTCCTACAGCCTCAGACTGAGAACTGCAGCTTAGGTTGAAGAATTTAACCTTATAAGTTGTTATTTTCCCACATGTGTCTCAGCTCTCATGGTTTGGGACATGTGAAAACCAGCAAAGTGTTGTACTGTGAGCTAAACTCTGTGGCAGGTTCGGCACTCAGCTGTACAATGGCTAACTGGGACTATGACTATCTGATCAAGCTGCTGGCTCTGGGGGACTCAGGAGTGGGAAAGACCACCTTCCTCTACAGGTACACTGACAACAAGTTCAACCGCAAATTCACAACCACAGTGGGCATCGACTTCAGGGAAAAGAGAGTGGTGAGTACATGTTAATGGTATTTAAATTATAGGGGAAAAAACATTTCAAAAACTCAGTAAGGCCAGGTAAGCCTTTTACACATTTATCTTTTTAAGTATTTTATAATAATTGGCAGATAATGTTTGATACAGAAATAAGTGGCCATTAACTTTTAATAGAGTACACAACAAATTATTATTTGTCAGGTTAATGTGGGATCACTAGAGTCAAGAAAGCATTCTAGTGGAGATATATTGTAGGAAATATAAAAGAAGCAAAGATATGTTTGAAGGGATGACCCCCAGACTCCCTCCAATATTGATCCCCACCAGTGAAATCTGCATCTTTAATATCAAATGTTATTTAAAATGTTTTTGTTGTCTTTGTGTTAACAGTCATATGTGGTCTTTTTTTGTTAGTTAGTTTGTTTGTTTGTTTCACTGACTTCTTGCAGCAAGTCACAATAAATTGAGGCGTTCAGGTTGCTCTATTTTAGTAGAACTTTTCACATTTATTGAAACTATTTTAAATTTTACAAGAAAGACAAAGAAAAATCTGCAAATACTCACTGGACTAAAAAACTATCTCAATCTGAGAGTGTTCTTCTTACTTAAAACAATAATAAAGAAAAAGTATGCATATAGAGGGTAAAATTATTTTCTGGCTTCATCGTCTGTTAGAAAAAATGTGTTAACTCAGGTTGTTAGTAACATGGTAATAATCTATTGAAGAAAATCTAACTAAATGTCTAATAAACACTTAGACATGCCAAACTCGTCTTAGGGAAATAATTAAAACAAAGTAGAGAATTACAGACCAAAAGTTTAATACTTTCTTCTTGAAAAAATATAACAAAGAACAAAATGAAATCCTGTAAATCCTTAGTGAGTAAAACCACGATTTTGAAGCTGAAGTAGCAACCCTAAATGTATTTTTCCTGATGTAATCAGCTATACTGAAAATGCTAGGTTTTTATGTTATATGAAAATCTCTGTAGTCAAGTCTGTAGCCAAGAGAAAAAAGACGTCTCTATTAGCTGCTTATATGAAACTAAAACATTAGTGTGGTATTATGTTGCCAGTACAGCTATGGTCACGTTGAGTTTTGTCCATAAAGTAGACCTGTTATATCAAATTATCTATTTTGCTTGATCCCTATCACAAGTGTAACTGTGTTGCATCCGTCCACGCATCCTGCTAATCCAAAGAAATGACACAAAACGTAAAATAGAAATCGTGTAATTTGGTTTGCATGTGGAGCATTTTGAACTTTTTGAGTTGATTACTGGGCTCTGTGTATTGCTTTAGGTTTATACGGGGACAGGTGTAGATGGGGCAACTGAGAAGAACTTCAAAGTTCACCTTCAGCTCTGGGACACAGCAGGACAAGAGAGGTAATCATGAAATTTTTCTTTGTTTCATAATTCATAGTTAATATTTCATAAATAAGTGTGTGTGTGGAGGATCGAAGCATTATTTATCATTTTAAAACTCTTTGCACCTGATAATTAATTCCTCACACCTGGTTTATGTAGTCCGGAATGTCCAAATTTAGCTGTCAGGCACATGATACATGATGTGGTTGCAAAACCAGCTTAATTCTTCACCCTCCACTAACAGTCTTGACAGGTGGTATAAGGTGTTTGCCTTGATATACTGTGTTTGGTTTCCTCCAAGCTAAACACTATATTGTGCATTATGGACAAACATCTCTGCTTTGGTGTCATCTGTCCAAAAGATATTGTTCCTGACATCTTGTCATTTGTTCTGACATGTTCTTTTTAGAGAGAACAACTCTTGTTCAGTCTTTTGCTAATTGTATTGTCACAAACTTTCAGTGTTGGGGAGTAACGGAATATATGTGCCGGTATTCAGAATACAGTTACTTTGTTGAAATAAATGGATTACACAGCGGTCTTTTCCTGCTTTATATGTTAAGCTATGCCCTCTCTATTTTTGGTAATTCCACACTGGTGGGAACCCAAACAAATCACATTAAGAGACTCTGTCTGTGTCTCAATCTCACGACCCATGTCACCCCTACTTGCAGCCCCATACAACGATGTGAAGGAATATCTTTATTATTCAAAACATTATTTAATATGAAGGCAACAGGCAGAGTGTTACAGGCATAGCCCTAAAGAATGTAGCCTCATGGGCAGTGTAGTCCGTGCTGCAGGGAGAATGGACTGCCATACTCATTATCTGTCTGTGTGCAAGGGAGGGAGAAAAAGAAGAGTGGAAAAGTACAAGTTGTCACCGACCAGAAACAGGAGCTGGAAGCATGTAAATATAAAAATAACCACTGCAGCCAAATAGAGTGCCTGACGAGCCCAGTTGTAAGTAGCTATTAAGGCTCGACTGTACACTGTGTTCGTGTTTTCCTCCGAAACAACAATAAGTTCAGTTGGAGCCGCGTTTCAACGCCTCTCTCTGTCTCTCGCAAAGTTCACCCAGCAAACAAAGTAAAGCTAGTTTTCGGCTATGAGCCCGACACAGAACCCAACAAATTAGCCAGAGGTCCCTTTACTATGGTTCGGAGCCGCTGACCTGTTTTATAGTTTTCTATATGAGATCGCTGCAAAAAATGCAGCCTTACCTAATGTCCACCCTACTGTTTCTCATTTTATATTAAGATTTAAAAATCTAGTTAGTATTGGTATGGCGAGTAGCCTTCAGTAATAGTAATAAATCACACAGCAATAGTACATTCATGTAGTTGTAAAAAGCATGATAATATATTAAGTAATCCAAAGTATTCCGAATACGTTACTCTCATTGAGTAATGAAACGGAATACGTTACAATATACATTTTGGGGCTGGTATTCCGTAATCTGTTGTGGAATACATTTTAAAAGTAACCTTCCCAACGCTGTAAACCTTAGCATGCTAACTGAGGCTTGTAGAGTCTGAAATTTGGCGCTTGTCTGAATTTGTTGTTTGATCTGAGAAAGGTTGTAGGATTGTGCTAACTCACCCTTCAATGCTCCAGACAAGCAAAATGCAATAGATTCTGCATTTAAAGAGATCCTCACACTTGCTGATGATCAGTTGATTAAATGTATTTGATTAGCAGCCCCCTGCTACTACTTACCTTCCTGTAGAAGCACTAAAGGTGTAATCAGGACTGCATAGTTCTTACTTTAGTGTAGCCACTCTGATGTCACCCACTTGTTACTGAAGTCCTATTTCTTTGAGCCCTCTCCATCATAGCTTTATGAAACCAGACACCATGTGTACAAGGTGGCACAGACTTTATCAAGTAACCCACACGTTCATAAGGTAGTGGCTAAAGCATACTCTGCTTTTATCATCATACTTAATGTTACGCTAAGACTTGAAACTAGTGATAAAGACCATAAACTGGAATAACTTTTGCTGAGGCCACTGAAAAACCAAACTGAAAGCTATTTTCTCTTCTTGGAACCAGAGTAGTTACCTCCTAGAAACAATGCAAGTAACATCTTCCATCCTTTATATACAGTCTGTGCTAAGAAAAAACAATTTTAGCCTTGTGGGTCTGCTGGGGATGCAGTTACAGAAATCCCAAACGCCAGTAGGATTCTTGGGACCATGAATGTTGTATTGTATTTAAATCCATTCAGCAGGTGCTTAGACATGTCAGTTTGACATCTGCTTTCTAAAAAATCTGCTTCTTCTTTAGGTTCCGCAGCCTCACCACAGCTTTCTTCCGAGATGCCATGGGCTTCCTGTTGATGTTTGACTTGACCAATCAGCAAAGTTTCCTCAATGTCAGAAACTGGATGAGTATGTTTCCACTGAGCCCCCTGTTCTGCTTCCAATCAATATATTTAGTTTTATGTTGCTGCACAGATAATAATCTTGACTGATTCTGAGTTTCTTCTCATGTATGCTGAGGCTTTACGTGACTTCCTCTGTGTTTCAGGTCAGCTGCAGGCCAACGCGTACTGTGAGAGTCCAGATGTGGTGTTGGTGGGTACCAAGGCAGACGTCAGAGACATGAGAAGTGTTCACGCCAGGCAAGCCAGAGATCTGGCAGACAGATATGGGTAAGGCCTTACAAACACTGTATTAATCATAAAAATATGTCTGTACCCATAAAGAGACATAGTAGTGTACTTTCATACTTGTTTTTTCATTTTTCTTTCCTCTGCGCAAACATAATTATGGCTTCTGTTTGTTTGTTTATCAATACTGCCATGGTATTAAATTAATAACCAAACTTCATGTGACAACAGTTTACAGTTTTGTGTATGACTTTTATTGATCTTATGTCCTGTTTTATTTTTTTAATATTCAGAAGACTTATTAAACCTGACGTTCTACCACATTAAATATAAGAATCAGAATCAGAAAGGGGTTTATTGCCAAATGTTGAGCAGGTTTACAACATTAGGAAATTGCTGCGGTGCTTCAGTGCAAACATAGTGTCATAAATAGCACTTAAATAGACATGAAAAAATAAAAGTAGGGATAAGAATTAAAAGTGCTACGTAGAAAGATATGTGCATGATATATACATGAGAATAAGAATTAAGAGTGCTACGTTGAAAGATAAGGTTACTGTAACCTTTTTATTGCTATTGTTTTGTGGTAAATTATTATTTTATGAATTGTTTTTACTCATTTTAGCTTCTCCAATTTTAGTAGGTCTCTCAAAAAACTTTCTCTTGGCCTTCATACATTATCACCTGATTCTAGTAACGATGCCAAGTGTGCAACATAAAAAAGACATCCAGTGTGTCCTACTAGATTTCCTACAGATTTATAAATGACAGATGAGAAGGGGATAACTTTTGGACTTTTTCCTGATTTGTACACAATATCCATTATTATGAATAGATGAAAGTGGTTGCCTGAACTGATGAGTTCATTTGAGCCAGAAGTGTGAATTATCCCAAACGAGACCCCATTTTCCAAGCTGGAGCCCAAAGGGGCTTTTCAGCAGGACCTACAAATACAAACTGACAGTGGGATCATTATATTTTTATAGCCTAATTGCTGAGAAAGACATTATTAGCCAAACCAAAACGAAATGACACTTTCTTAAAATTGTTTTCTATCACTACTCTGGTGCCATTTTAAATTTTAAATTTAATATCATTTTATATTTATATAGCTTCATCTGGTAACTGTGACTTAGAAGTTTGTGTTTTCCACAGGTTCATGATGAGTTAATGAGTTCAGATTAGAAATTATTTTCTCTTTTCCTTGAAGATGATGGAAATCTAGTTTTAATTCTGTCACCATAAGATGGTGCTGGTCAACAGTTTTCCCTGATCTTGGATCTGTAAAAAAAACTTTTACAGCAAAGACTTATTTTGGATTGTAAAACAATCATTTTTAAGATCAGCTAATGTTTTTGGTTTTTTTTGTTCCACAATCTCCTAAGCATCCCGTACTTTGAGACGAGTGCAGTGACGGGTGCTGATGTGGACCTGGCGGTGACCACCCTGCTGAATTTGGTGATGAAGAGGATGGAGCAGAGCACATACGGGGGCCAAGGCTCAGAACCCAATGGCAGCCCCGTCTCCAGCCATGAAGTGGAGGAGGCATCTGTGAGGAGCAGGTGTGCCTGCTGATGTTGCAACCATCAGCTCCTCTTTTCTCTTTTACACCATATATCACTGCATTTTGAGATCCTACCATTTTCTCGAGATCTACAACAGCCTGTGAAATGAGACATTTGAGATCCTAAAACCAAGCAAAATATAAGCCCATACTGTACATGAAAGGAGAAGAGCTTTGGAAAGTTTCATTTAAAGCGTTATTATTGTTACAGTATAAATTCGTCTTCTAGTGTTATTTATTCACACACTTTGTATTGTCAGAAACAACATAAAAGAAAACTGCAAAATGAAACAACTGTATGTCCACTTATAAAAAACTGCAGTACTATGTAAAAGTCTTGAACCCCTTATTTCTTTATATTTTGCATCCAAGGAGCCAAACTTTCTTATTATGTTGGTCTTTACTTTCTGAAGGTCATTCAAAGTTTTTCTTTGGACACTGGCTGTTTTTAACACATTATCTGAAAAATGTTTATTTAAGCCACTTTAGCCTGACTTATAATCATTCACCGGAAAATATGCAACTCAGCAGATGAGCCAGTATTGTGTCTACACATAGGAAACAACTTGGCAAATAACCAGTCAATACCCGTGTCTTTCAAGTTCTTTCTTTACGATTGAAAACTCAATTTCTTACTTTTTAAACTGCATTTCCATATATGTCTGTTTGAAAAACATTCCTGGCCCTTATTCCCATTTTCAAGTAAAGTAGTGGTCCAAAGACTTACACAGCTCTGTGAACAGGTCGAATATTGGCTCTTTTGACATGTTTGTACAAACACACCACAGATAAAGATATGGGTTCAAACAAATGCCCCAGAGTAATTTTTATAATTCAAAAAAATGATTAAAAATATAGATAGATACAAGACAGATAGAAAAAGTAAGTACACACTGATACATTTATCTTTCTTTAAGTGTAAAATTAGGTGGTTGGGTTGCTAGTGTTTTGAAGAACTTTATGCAGTGATATTTAAACATGTGGTCTGTCTTATTTAAACCTTTGACATCTTGGGTGTGTTGTTCTTTTTGTCATTGAAATGTGCGGTGTGAGTATCTGAAGAACTCTCAGACTTTCTACAGAATCCTGTGAAATCTTTTGAAATAATCATTCCACTGTAAAGTAAATCATATACCAGTGGCAAATATAGTCCCCAAAACTCAGTCGTAGTATGTGCAGGTAACTGTTGGTGCCAGTGCGTACATGTCTACTCTCCAAAGAGGCTCAGAATGCTGATAAAGACAAAAGCCTTCTCTGGGCATACAAAATCTAGGAAAGAGAAGACCAAAGGGTGCTTTCCAGAGGAAAGTCATACTAAGTGTGATGCATGATGTTGGAAATTATCTGGTCTGGGGTTGCTTTGCTGCCTCAGGTAGCTGGTAGTCAATGATTCCACTCAGTCACAGATAATATGAGGAAAGTTGTCTAAAAGTGGAAGTTAAAATTATCCAAATCCACTAACTGTATATAAAAGATGGACATAGTCTCTGGCTCTGAATGCCAATTCCAAAAGACTTCCCCTTCCAAAGACGTTTTGGGGGGAAAAGGCCCTTGGCTTTCAATAAACATTTTCTTGATTAATTTATGGGCTTGTGGCAGTTTCCAGTTATATTAAACACACCCAGAAGTTCATATGTTAAAATGTAACATTTGTGATTAAAGATTTTTGATTTACAAACTGTAGATCCTGTTGTAGTCAGATCCAACACTGGGCTGGTAAGGTGTAGTTTTAAAAAGGTGTGATGGCAATGGTGAAAATACCCAGTGTGGGGCTTCACAAGAGGACTTCACTAGCCACTTACATACAGTCTATGTGTGTCCTAAGCACCACTGCAAATCCACTCAGGAACGGTTGGAGGGTTAATAACAGTGTGAAATAGTCTATGCAATAAAACCTTTGAGCATTTTAGCATCTTGCAAATAGAGGAATCTTGCATGGAACAGTAGTAAAAACGCAAGAAGCTGAAATTCGGGGACAATAAAAATGTCTCTACATGTAAAGTATATGTGACTTTATGTGTAGCCACTATTTCAAGCAGAATAAGATTTTTGTGTGTGTAAATATATTGCAAAGCCAGCAATTTCATTTAGTTTATGTAGTTGTTGTTAGTTTACTTTTAAAAAAAAATATTTTAATCTCCAAATGGGTCATACCAGAGAAAAATACTGTTTATTTGACACGTTGAGGCATTGATGGAAGGAATATGCAGGCACATAATGTATATTTATCATGGAATATAATCAAAAAACATTTACTGTAGGACATGGTTTCTTACTTGGATGATTGCTGTTGATCGAACAACCAGGATAGTACAGTCACTTACATGATTTATGACTTTTATACAACATGTACATAAGCAGCATAATGGAACAAAATCGCCATGCAGATCAAACACAAGTACAGAAATGTTAAAGGGTTGTTAAAGAACAAATCCTGTATAGTGCTCAATTTGGAATAAACACATTTAATGTTTAGGTAATGCACATCACTGTCTGGTCATTTAAACATACTGTAATGCACAAAAAATATATATTACTCTGACTGGAATACAATCATCACAGAGTTTCTTGGCATCAGCATATTTTACACACATTCTGCACATTGATTTTTAATGTTACGAGAAATTTTCTTAGAGGAGGAAGTGCCCAGCAGTATACCACTGGATATTTCCAACAAATAACTCTGAAGGAGGACATTCATAGCGTTACAAGGAAATTCTACAAATGTAGTTAATTAGGGAAATCTCCGCAAAACAGTGGCCATTAGGCAAGTGTCAGCCCTAAAAACCTCAAATGTTTGTGGGGTTACCCTAGTGTTCTGAAGCCAAAGTGCCTCAAACTTGTATTCCTTTTGCATCCAGAAGGGGGCGACTCCCTTGACTTCCTGTCCTATTACATAGAAATATGGAAAAACACCCTTCGCTCCTTCAGTCTGTGACATTTATAAACATTTTTATCATTACTTAATCAACTCAATAGGTTAGTTTTGTAAGTCATGATCAGGATATTGCAAGTCGTTAGCCAATGAAAATACATGTACGCAGCCAGATCCAGCCCTCACTTGCCACAGGCAGTCTCAAAACACCAAGGTGGTCACGGCGAAAACACTTAGCTTGAGGCTTCATATTCAGACTTTACAAATCAGTGGAGGTGTGCAGGGCTGCCACTTTCATTTTTTATACTGTCTACTGCCATTAGTTTTCATAGAGCTTTCACAAATCAGTTTCCATTATTTCTTTTAAGCACATGGTCTTTGGTGTACCTACAAAACATTCAGTGAAGGGACTGCTTAAATTATTCTTACACATCTATAACAATCAAAGTCCTAAAATTTGGCTGTCTTTTTACAAGATGTGCAGTTTCATGGTTGTTGCTTTTAATGTCGTGACTGCACTGTGATTTAAAGGTTAGACACACAAGTTAACGATTTGAATTAGTTCGTTTGAACAAGACAAAAGAACAGACACTACATATGGTAAATGTGCATGACTGCATTTCTCTGTGTGTTAAACCTCAGCCCAAGCTGGAATTTGCAACAAGGAGCACATGTTGCAGAGTCATGGGATGGTCATGTGGCCAGCTTTTATTGTTTGGGTCCAGTCTTCCTCACCCCTATATCCACCAGTCTGTTTCAGCCTGGCACGATAAGGTGGACTGTTTAAGACCCCAGGACTATCTACAGTTATAAAAAATAAAGCTTGTTCATTTTTAAGTTGATCTGTAGAAGTTTGGTCCCATGTGGAATACAGCGTTCTTTTTAGCCTTCAAACAGCTCTCATACAAAGACACCAGTGATATTCTTAAGGAATACACCACCAGGAATACAAACAATAGCAAATGACTAAATTTTACCCTTCAAAAAGGTTGTATAAAACTAGCCTAAAAGATCTGTTAGTGCCTCACATGCATTACCACTTAAATATTTCATGCTGTTTGTACAAGATGCAATAAGCCATATAACATTCATTCATTTTATCTTGCATCACGAATATTGAATTTGATACAGTTACGGTCGGAATAAAGAAAATTTCTTCAGTCAACAAAATAGTGAAGTTCAATCGTCGTTTGGGACATAGTGGGAAACCTCAAGATCGGTTATTATTTAAAAAAGTTCTATTTCCTGATGTTTTAAGCCACACTTGAGCCATGATTTACATCACAAGGTGGTCCGAGTCTGGTAGCCCCTGGTCAAAAATGATTTTTGACATTTGTTTGTATGCTTAAACCAAGCTTGTGTTTACTAAGTGAGAATTTAAGCATACATATTGAAGCATGTTGCATAAATATGTTGTTAGTAAATAATAAATATCATAACCCACTTAGACTCTCTCATGTAACTAGCTAGCTAACATTAGCTCCCTAATGTTTCCATTTAGGCAGGAGAAAAAGAAACAATCTGAATGTGTAAACATAAACTTACAAGATCTGAAATTATATCATGTAAAAGCAAAACTACATTCCACTAAACAGCATTAAGTAGGCTAGCATAATCAACTATGCACAACTCCCTTTAAGCTAACAGTGTGCTAACCACGAAACCGTTCAGATTTGGAAGATATGTTACAGCTCAATAATAAAGTCTTTACTAATGATGATTTGGGGTTTTTCTGTTTGGAAACGACCAACATTTTCACATATTTCCACAAGGTTGCTAGGTCAGTGCTTTCTATTTTGGCCTAGGACACCCTCGCAAAAGCGATTTTTAATCTCAAGAGTTCAATTCCTGGTACACTTAAGGTAGACATACAACTTCCTCACTGAGCATTTTTTTAGCAGTTGGTTGGTTGCTCATGAACACTTCAGGCATTTGGTTGTGTAGGTCAGTGGTCCCCAACCTTTTTTGCGCCATGGACCGGTTTATGGCCGACAATATTTTCACGGACCAGTCTTTCAGGGGTTGCGGATAAATACAACAAAATAAAACCAGTACTGGTACCAAAAAAACAAGAAGATTTATTCATAACACACGGGAAAAGACCCAAGGAAACCGAGTTAACAATAAAACCGATAAAAAACTCTGAAAACCATAAATTCCATAAATCACACCCAAGCCTCAACTTTTGCGGCCCGATACCAAACGACTCGGAGACCGGTCCGTGGCCCAAAGGTTGCGAACCGCTGGTGTAATTAACCCTCTGAAGTATTTACCAAGTACTCATTTATCCACTTAGAAGTCAGCAGGGCTCCTGAACAGGGGTAATTAACCTTGTTTCACTAAAATCTCACCAATACTCTGGGAGTAAGTAGCAATCCAACACTGCACTGCACCACATTCAAGAGCAATGCATGCTGGTGCCCAATGGCTCCCAACAGAAATCCTTATATCAACACACAAACGCAAACAAGAGAGTGTGAGGGAGAGAAGCAGAAGCCTCTTTTACTATTCTTCCTGTAAGTTTGCAGGGAAACACTTGCTGTCAACCACAAACAATTATCACGTATCACTTAAAACCAACCAAAGTAACAATCCATGCACATCTGTGCTCCATTTTGCACATACCCATAGTCAATTTAGCGCACCCAGGCATCCACACACTCTACCCACTTATATAGTAGGTGCATTTATACTTACTTTATATTTCAGACTGTTTATTTAAAAATAGCATGACTGACTATTTTTCATATAAGCTTTGATTTAGATGCTTCACCTCACTCTCCCACTCCTTTCTGTAGTTTACATATGTATACATTTAACCCACTGTGGCAGCATCTTCTCACTGATATCTGACATAACATAGCAGCAACTGGAACATACAGTCTTAGTATTTCACGTCATGGCAGACAGTCCGCCATGACAATTTCGGATTAGGTCAAATACGTACACTCTTGGGTTTTGTTGTGAACTATCACTTAAAATGCATATTTTTTAAATCATCAAAAAGGATCCCAAAACAGCCTAAATTTTGTCCGACATTATTTTAACCATCAAGGTTAAGCTTAAAACTGTGTGGAAAACCCACTCTGGCAACACTCGTGCCTTTAACTGTGAAATAAATATTTTTACCTAATAACTTAGGTTTGATTAAGAGTGGTGAAAGAGCGGAAATAAATAGCTTGGCTCTTCTGAAGGATCATAAATTTTGGTTGGCAGATCTTTTAAAACTCACAAAATAGCATCTTGCATCTGCACGGGTAAATATTTTTAGACAATGTGTGAAAGATTTGCAGTTTTACAGAGTGGTTAGGTCAGGGATTACCATGTTTTGGGTTTGACCAGTGGCTTCCTGAGGTCCCAATTTAGTAAGCTAAGTTTTAAACTAGCTTAGGTACGATATTCAAACTTGGTAATAGAATAGAATAAACCTAGAATAAACCTTTATTATCCCACAAATGAGAAATCTGGGATTTAATCATGAATTGGCAAAACGATGGAGCTGTTGCTCCAGTCTGTCATGTATTTTGATAATATTTTAATTGTAAACATTGGTTCTTTTTTACATGATGATAACAAAACTTGATGATCTCTTATCAGAAATTACTTGGCTAAATTTGATCCTAAATCAAGTAAGTTTACCATTACATACAGTGGGGCAAAAAAGTATTTAGTCAGCCACCGATTGTGCAAGTTCCCCCACTTAAAATGATGACAGAGGTCAGTAATTTGCACCAGAGGTACACTTCAACTGTGAGAGACAGAATGTGAAAAAAAAATCCATGAATCCACATGGTAGGATTTGTAAAGAATTTATTCGTAAATTAGGGTGGAAAATAAGTATTTGGTCACCTCAAACAAGGAAAATCTCTGGCTCTCACAGACCTGTAACGTCTTCTGTAAGAAGCTTTTCTGTCCCCCACTCGTTACCTGTATGAATGGCACCTGTTTGAACTCATCATCTGTATAAAAGACACCTGTCCACAGCCTCAAACAGTCAGACTCCAAACTCCGCCATGGCCAAGACCAAAGAGCTTTCGAAGGACACCAGGAAAAGTATTGTAGACCTGCACCAGACTGGGAAGAGTGAATCTACAATAGGCAAGCAGCTTGGTGTGAAAAAATCAACTGTGGGAGCAATCATCAGAAAATGGAAGACATACAAGACCACTGATAATCTCCCTCGATCTGGGGCTCCACGCAAGATCTCATCCCGTGGGGTCAAAATGATCATGAGAACGGTGAGCAAAGATCCCAGAACCACACGGGGGGACCTGGTGAATGACCTGCAGAGAGCTGGGACCAAAGTAACAAAGGTCACCATCAGTAACACACTACAACGGCAGGGAATCAAATCCCGCAGTGCCAGACGTGTTCCGCTGCTGAAGCCAGTGCATGTCCAGGCCCGTCTGAAGTTTGCCAGAGAGCACATGGATGATACAGCAGAGGATTGGGAGAATGTCATGTGGTCAGATGAAACCAAAGTAGAACTTTTTGGTATAAACTCAACTCGTCGTGTTTGGAGGAAGAAGAATACTGAGTTGCATCCCAAGAACACCATACCTACTGTGAAGCATGGGGGTGGAAACATCATGCTATGGGGCTGTTTTTCTGCCAAGGGGACAGGACGACTGATCCGTGTTAAGGACAGAATGAATGGGGCCATGTATCGTGAGAGTTTGAGCCAAAACCTCCTTCCATCAGTGAGAACTTTGACGATGAAACGAGGCTGGGTCTTCCAACATGACAATGATCCAAAACACACCGCCCGGGCAACAAAGGAGTGGCTCCGTAAGAAGCATTTGAAAGTCCTGGAGTGGTCTAGCCAGTCTCCAGACCTCAACCCCATAGAAAATCTGTGGCGGGAGTTGAAAGTCCGTGTTGCTCGGCGACAGCCCCAAAACATCACTGCTCTCGAGAAGATCTGCATGGAGGAATGGGCCAAAATACCAGCTACTGTGTGTGCAAACCTGGTAAAGACCTATAGTAAACGTTTGACCTCTGTTATTGCCAACAAAGGTTATGTTACAAAGTATTGAGTTGTATTTTTGTTATTGACCAAGTACTTATTTTCCACCCTGATTTACAAATAAATTCTTTACAAATCCTACCATGTGGATTCATGGATTTTTTTTTTTCACATTCTGTCTCTCACAGTTGAAGTGTACCTCTGGTGCAAATTACTGACCTCTGTCATCATTTTAGGTGGGGGGAACTTGCACAATCGGTGGCTGACTAAATACTTTTTTGCCCCACTGTATATTTTCATTGTTACTGATGGAAAATTATCCTCCTAGTCTTTTTGGTAGATTTTGGAAATGTCTCATTTTCTCAACACCTACGTAATGAAGGCCGGTAACACGTTCTGCAGTTCTGATCTAATGATCACAAAACACCTCTCCATGAATTTATGGCTTATTGTTGGAATGTTGATTATTATTCCAAAAATTTTGAAGTGGACAGTCAGGCTGTCTACAGAGAAAAAAGACACACATATATTTATATAGAGTACAATCTTGTAAACAAATACCATCTTCTAGAGCAGTGCAGATTGTCTGACACCTCGTGGGGGAAAAGGCCTGAAAACAGGAACTGCACCTCTCTGGAGGCATTAAATCTGATTACAAAAAACACTGATCTAACTCCTTCCCTGAGATTAGGCAGTGATTTCAGTGTACAGAATTGGTATACTGTTGTAAAGGTGATTAATCGATCTGTTTCAAGCAGAATTGGAAATTTACTGCGTCCCCACAGCTGAATCCCCCGTAGACTCCAGTTAAAATAGATGTCTGTTTGGCTCAAACTATTTAGCCAGCAGTCATGCAAAGGAGAATAATGAAAGCAACTGAGCTGCATGAAAGCCCCTAACTGTGGTGCTGAACACAACAGGTTGAATGAATAACAACGCTGGGATCTGCAGCTCGAGTGAGCCTGACATCTTCATGTAAAATTACAACGTGACACGAGTGTGTGTTTGCAGGATGATCATAAACTGCCTAAACACTTATCATGCTTATCATGTGTGCCACAACAGAAGTTTGAACTGAGCTGATGTATGTTGGTAATGGTCTCTGGAGTCACGTCTTAAACCATCCCGGACTCATCGAATGTCTAAGAGCAGTGCGTCAAGCTGAGTTTGATCACGCCTTCCCTGTGCAGCTTGTAGAGCAGCTTGAACTCGCTGGGCAGCTGGTGGGTTTCCTGCCACTTAGTGGTGAATTTGGTCCCTTTCTTGTCGTAGTAGTGGTACGGCAGATCCTTGCCTGTGTTGGGGTCCCAGCCAAAGGGCCAGAAGCCGTAGAGGTGGATCTCGTCACATATTGCTGAGGCCAGGGTGTACATGAGAATACCAGTGCTGAGACGCTTGGGAGAGAGGTTTTTAGTCTTCCAGTATCTGAGAAGAAAACAAATAGATCACAAATTGACTGTAACTTTGTGTTGTCTGTTCAACATTTTATCATGTGATGTACAATTAAGCACATACATGTTTGGATGGTGATACAATTTTTGTGATTTTGTGTCTGTTCACCACCACAATGAGTTTTAAATCAAATAGTCAAGATGTGATGGAGGTGCAGATTTTCCATTTTAAATCAAGCGGTTTAACAAAAGTATTGATGTAACTAAAGTACAACCAGTCATTCACCAACTAATTATAGGCCTGTGTGGTCATGGTTTTAGTGTTTGCCACACTTTAAATAAAACTACCATGTTGGTGACACCAGGGTTTCAGAAATACTCCCACAATATGCCCACATTTACATCAGTCGGTGGTGTCATATCAATGCTTTCATATTAGCGGTGGATTAAATTGGTCTTTGTACTGCCTGTGGTTCAGTTTTACTTGTTACATATTAACAAGACATCCAATAATTCTCTGATTTTTAGCTCATCTGGCCAAAGGACAGCGGCCAGGTGTCTTTCCATCTGTCCATTTCATAGTTCATAATAATTATTATTCCTTCAAGATTACCACGCAGGTTTTTGTGAGATTGCGCAATGATCAACAATTGAATGTGATCAAGGTCAAGATCACATGCATTTTCAAAGAATCACTTACTTGCTCCCAGAGTATTGGTCACATTTTAGTGAAACACGATTCATTTGTCCTGTTTAGGAGCCTCCCTGACTTCTCAGTGGATTTCAGTTCTCATTAGTTTGTGTAATACAGCCAAACAATAACAACAAAACTTATAGGTTCTGTGATTCACATATTACAATAACCTGTCAATTGTGATGGATCATGAGTCGGATGAGCTAAAACATCACTGGCATTCCAGTTATTGTTATCCTGTTTTTTCCTTTTGCATGTGCATCCTGTGTTCCTGTGTGCACTTCTTTGTCTGCATGAGTTTTGTCCTGGTCCCTCCTTCACTTATTTCTTGTTTTATTTTGAAGGTCATATCCTCAGGTGGTTGTCTGTGTGTGTGTGTGTGTGTGTTTTTTACTGCCTTCCTCTGTTCTTTTCCCAGCTTTGTTAGTGTCCCTTCACTCGTACTGTGTATTTAGTTGCTGTCTTTCCTTTTGGTTTTAGTAAGATTATAGTTTTTGCAAACCCTGTGTTTTCTCTGCTAGATTTCTGTGTTTGGGATTTATGTTAGTTTCTCATTTTGAGATGTTTCTTCATGGATTTAAGTTGTTTTTAGGCTTTTTGGCTGCCAATAGAAGCAGCCTGTTTTATTTTGTTTTGTTTCTTTTTCTTCAGTGTGACATAAACCTCTCTGTTCAGTCAATAAAGTTAGAAAGCATTTCTACACCTAACCGATAAACATTTCTCTGAGCAACAGGTGGAGAGCAGAAACTGGGTGACAAGGAATGTGAATATAAAGAGCTGCAGGAACCTGGAACTGATTGAGGATTTTGCATGACTGGTTGACCTGGGATTTTTCAGCGGATGTGTGGTTTGAAATAAGGAAATAAGGTTTTTGGTTAACAGAAGCTTTAGCTATTTTAACATTGTGTCCCATAGTATAAAATTTAAAACTACAGACCTATGATAGGTCTATAGTCTACTGTCATTTATTCATAGACTTACAGTACAGTATTGCAGTACAGTAGCATGATAGTCTTTATAAAGGCTGCAGTAAATTGTGAATTCTGATGATTATTAAGCATAATAAAAAATTCTTTATTGCGGAAATGTTTCATTTTCTGTGATAATTAAAAAGCCTATGGAAAAATCACATTGGTTTCCAGGTTTGCCTAAAAAATCCTCCATCCCTGCAAAGCTCAACAGAATCAGATCTTACTTGTTCACGTCGTGCATGATATTTCCTGGCCAGGCCAGTTCAATCTTCAGCTGTCCCTTGTGCTCCACAAAGAAATCCACCAAGGTCCGAGTTACTGTAGCTGAGGTATGAAGGAAGAAGGCAGGGATCCACAGGATGGCTCCCTCCAGTTTCTTTAGGTTGAGGAAGAAATTATTTCTGTCTTGAATGGTCAGCAGGTTATTGTAATACCTCTCCAGGATGCTGGGGTTAAAGGTGGTCAGGTTGGTCTTCTTGCCTACATCCTTGGAGTAGATGTCGGTGGGGGCAAAGTTGCAGCGGAAGACAAAATCGGCTTGGTCAATTTCAGGGCCACAGTGGCTGCCGGTAAGAATGCCACTATTTCCCACCACGGCACACATGCTGTAGTGCTTATTGAGGATGGGAGAGGTGTCGGGAAGCAGGGATTTGAAGTTGTTACTGATGGAGAAAACATACTTGTGGCTGGAGTAGTCAAAGTGCATCAGCTGGCCAACACGCACGCTGTTCTTCGTAAGGGAAAAGTTGTTGGGAATGTCGATGTAGTTGAAGATATCTTTCCTGAAAAAAAAAAAGATGTTAAAAAAAAGTCCAAAACCAATCACAGCGACTACATCCCTTTTTTTATTTACAGAATGTTACAGGCACATACATACATACATACATACATACATGCATACATATATATGTGTACACATATATCCCATATAACAAATATGCAAAATTAGACACACAAACAATTCACTTGTTGGTTTTGAATGTTGGTTGGACAACACAAGCAAACAGAAGACAAAATGAAGAGGAAGGATGTTTTATGCTGTCTGATTTCCAGACCAGAAAATACTCAAGTTTCACAAAGAAGACAAGCAGAATTCAGTTAGGAGTCAAATCTTTTACCTCTGATGATAAAAAGCTGTCTTGTTGAACTTCCATTTGGACGGTTTTCCTTGGAGCTCTTCGTTTAGGGCATTAGTTAAGGGGATGAAAGAGGGGTCCAGGAAATTCATGGCGAACTGAGACCTGAAATTAATGTCCACAAAACATTGGAAGCTGAGTCATCATGTAATAACAGCAGCAGCTATACTGGCTGCGGTTTAGAAAGATCCAATCAGATCTGCTCCTGGCACACTTTGGTCAATCTGCTTTTCATATCAGTCCCTCAAAAGACTTTCATGTTTAGAATAATTACAGTTAAAAATGTTCAAATGATTCAACTGTTTTTTTGTTTTTTCTCTTTAAAGAGGAGAGTGGGAAAAATGAAAATATTTAGATATTTTTCTAGTTAAAACTTGGATTCATGTTAAGACTTGGGCACTAGTTTTGTATTAATAAAGGAAATGTGGAAATCACACTTAATACATTTCCATTCCCTTTATGTAAGTTACCTTGAGTTATTTTTCTGTATACGTAGTATATGGTCAACAAGTCCAGCACCTTGGACAGCTTTATGTTTGATTTAAAGGAGGCATAAATGAGTTTAGACCCCTTTGGGTTTTTATTTTATTTATTTATTTTGTAGACAGCCCCTAAAAACTATTATTAGTATTAATTGTGGTGTATTTTATTATTATTTTCTGGAATTATCTTCCAATGGTTTGTTTTCCTAACTTTTCTATTGACAGCAGTACAGGAAAGAATGATAACAGGTTTTATGTCCAGTGTTGTTGATGTCATGATGTTACAGAGCGCTCACACACAGGCGTGGCTCGTGGCTTCTCAAGAATAATAAGACTTTTGTTGCTGCAGCAGAAAGAACACGAAGAGATAATTACATGACACAAATCAGTGATGCAGAATTAAAACACACTTTAACTGAAATACAACAAAACATTGCCATGACTTATAAAACCCATGTGCATTATTATTTTAGTTTGTTAAAAATTTCGATTCCTATTCTGATTAAATTGGGTTTCAGTGTTTGTTTACGATATGCTCCAGATCCAGGTGGCAGCAAGTCAAAAGGATGTTACCTGTCTATGTCCTGCAGCAGCCTGTATTCAGTTTGAATATTGCTATAAAATGATATGGATCAGTTTGTCTTTCATTCACTATAACAATTCACCAAAAATGATAAAGCTGTAGCTTCTGTTTTACCCACATTCGCATAACTAAGCAGTGTGTTGTCTTTTTGTCGACAACTAACCCTAACCCCCTAACCCTCTTATAATAATTATTATATTATTATATTTTTGTCATTTTCCAGTTTCTATTTGAGTGAGGGGGATGGAGAGCGAGGGGGAGGACAGAGAGATCCTACAAGAAAAGTAAAAAGGAGGGAGCAAATAGTCAAGGTAGCTGGAAAAACAAAAGTTATTTTTCATATGCAGTTTTTCATGTAAATGGTAAATGGCCTGTATTTGTATAGCGCTTTACTAGTCCCTAAGGACCCCAAAGTGCTTTACACAACCAGTCATCCACCCATTCACACACTGCTGATGGCAAGCTACATTGTAGCCACAGCCACCCTTGGGCGCACTGGCAGAGGCGAGGCTGCCGGACACTGGCGCCACCGGGCCCTCTGACCACCACCAGTAGGCAATGAGTGAAGTGTCTTGCCAAGGACACAACGACCAAGACTGTCCAAGCTGGGGCTTGAACCGGCAACCTTCCGATTACAAGGCGAACTCCCAGCTCTTCATGGAGGCTGTTGTGCTTTCCAGTAGCACACTTAAAAAAGAGAGTTTGTATTGTATGAATTCAGAAACCTTTACATAAAAGAACTCTATTATCAGTTTGTTTTGTGTGATTTTCTAGTGTCTGTACTGAATAATGATACTTTAAATGCTTGATGATTTGGTGAACTGAAATAATGTTGTGCATGTTTCTCCGTTATTGAGTGTGTCATGAATCTCTGTGTACAGGCAGGAGATTGGACCCAAAATGCAGGACCCACAACACACAAAATACAGCTTTATTTACTGACTCAAAGGAAAGATATCAAACTAAACTAGACTGGGAAAATATAAACTAAACTTTACCGAAAGGCACACAAGGGATCACACAGCATGAGGGACGGTGCGACATGGAACATAGGGAGATTCTGACATAAATACACAGAAGGTAATGAGGGACGTGGGAACACACGGGGAGCACAGATGATGAGGGTTACACATAACAAGACAGGGAGGACACGGAACTGACAATACTGACCCAAGACGCGGACCTTAAACGCAACACAGGAAGGACACAGAGACGCAGACAGGAGGGGGGAGAGAGATCACGGGGAGATCACAGACATAACAGGCTGGGGAAACACGATAAACATGATGGAATAAAACACAAGGGGAAAAGGGCACACGAATTCACAATTAAATAAACACAAACACACAAAGGGAGACAGAGGGCAAAGACATAAGGGGAAATCTGATCAACCATAGGCTGCTGAACAGACAACTTAGGGATCTTTAGAATACAAATGAACTTAATACAGAATGACAAAACTCACAAAGCTCAAAGCACTGGGTCAGAAGTCCCGGGACCATGACAGAGCCTTTGCCTGAGTTTGATAACTAAAGAGTCCGCCTTAAAAACGGGTGGATTCGATTAAAATCTGATCAATAACTCTAAATTATTCATTCTTAGACACTACACTTAGACACTATAATAGGTCATCCAATTAATTGGGTTGCTTTTGAAAGTAACGTTGTAATGTTTATTCAATTAAATGGAGGTTTGCAAATGTGAAAAGGATTGATTACATTTGGAAACAGCATACTCCATTAACATTAATTACAAGGTACTGCGTGAATGACATTATGATTGGAAGCTGAGGCCCACTTAAAGTTTGAACCTAGACAGCAAGTATATATAGAAGGTAAAGTATGAAGTCTGGAGTCGTGCACAAAAGGCCACACTGTTTACATCAACCCAATTCTGCATCTGATCATCCATCCTCATTGTGATGAAAAAAAAAATCTCACTCACCGAAAGCCTGCATGAAACATAATCCTCGGGCCTCCCGTGTAGTATTTGGAGGAGGAGAAGAGGCTGTCTTTTCTCAGAGACACGTAGCTGATGAGGGATAAAATGAGCACGGCGACGCACAGAATAACCAAACCCAGGGCCTTGGCGATGCGGACCATCTTGGGAGCGTTTTCATTCCTTGTATGTAGCTGCAGCGAGGTGTTGGCCTGTGTTGTTATTCCCGGGTCTGCACAGCGCTGCCGCCCGTCTGAAAAGCACACATAAACTGGCGCTCATCGGCTCATATAATCGTGTAAAATGGACGGGTGGTGATTTTCTGCGGCTGCATGATAAGGATGCCGCTGCTCGGTCCGCGCTCATTCCTCTTCCTCTCCTCTGCGGCTCGAAACCATCCAGGCTGCCGGGTTAATCAAGGAGATGGGAGCAGAAATGCGTGTCAACACATCCCAGACAGCTCCACCGCAAGCCGCGTACTTCAGCAGCACCAGCTGCACCAGCAGCATCACCACCTCCAATCCCACCCCCTCACACTCACGCTGATGCAGCTTTCGGCACAAAGAGACGCTTGTTCGGTAATTAGTTGAATGGGGCTGGCAGAAGATTTAAAAGTTCCGAGCATCAGTCTAATATGTTAAGTCATGCGCACTGGAATTTAATCTCGATATCCCGGCAGGGCATACATTTTAGTATTTAACTGTATTTTCGTTTTATGGAGTTTTCTTACTGTACAAGACTTTCTGGGCCACCTGTGTTACTTCATCAATTCACTTACTATGTACAGGTATTGCTGTCAGATGGTAAATGCCTAACAGCCTCTAAATAAATAGAGCGGTAAATAGACTGCAGCGTGCATTTAACACAGGGGGCATCCGGACTTAAACCAGAGACCTCTTGATCTGCAGTCAAATGCTCTACCAGTGAGCTATACCCCCTATTCCCTTTCACGTGTTTAAATTGTTTGTTTATATACATATATACAGTTTATCCAGTCTAACGTATTCCTGTAGTACAAACCTGATACTGTCGATTTTAATTGTTTGTTAAACAGTAACACAAACAACAGCATCTGGATTTGAACTGGAGACAATCTAAGCTGCAGTGCTCTTCCACTGAGTTATCCCCCCTGTGTATGACTGCACACAGTGTGGAACTTGAGGTCTCATCTTTCAGTTGTGGCGCTCTGGGCTTGTTTTCTAATGCATTCTGATATTTAATCTCAACACTGAAGCTCAAATGAAAAGCAGGTAAAAGCTGAGTAATTTATTAGGGTGAAAACAATCTGCGGTCATACAAATAAAGTTAATGGGTTTTATATACTGGGTTTTAACTGATTGAATTTCCTTTACTGTCTTTTTGGGGCTGAAAAGTACACAAAACAAAAGCAAGCACAGGTCAGAATTTAGAACAAAAAATAAATGCTAAAATGTGTGGGAGGAGCAGATCACCTGCTCACATCTCATCATATCCTTATTGTCACCATAAAGCCTCTGCATGTCCTGCTTCTTTAGCCAGTGTTAGCACACTGGCACACTGTTGGACAGCAGCTGACATTAAGAATTTTATCTGCCTTTCAGAGATGTTTTTACAGGTTGACAGGCAGGAAGGATTTACTTTTACTCTTTTATAGAGAGACCTAAGTGCTATTAGATTAATGAATCTGCAGAGTGTGATTTTGTCATCTAGGCAGTCTTCTAAAGGAGAACTCTTGATCTGCAGTGACCTATAGTGTGTGCCTCTCAATGACTCTCTACAATAGCAGTGCTTAACAGGGATTTTGGGGGTATAGCTCAGTGGTAGAGCATTTGACTGCAGATCAAGAGGTCTCTGGTTCAAGTCCGGATGCCCCCTTTTTTTTAATATCAGAATTGCGTTTATTGACCATGTATATGCACCATGTATCACTGTTTAACAAACAGTATCAGATTTGTACTACAGGAACTATATAGATAAATACATAGATAGATATAGATATATAGTTTAAGCTAAAGAGTTCCTGTAGTACCAACCTAATACTTAAAAAGTGATATTAAAAAAAAAGGTGACATCCAGATTTGTCCCGGAGACCTCTTGACCTATAGTCAAATGCTCTACCACTGAGCTACACCCCCTACAGCAAGTAGCTCTGCATCATTAAGACTGGTTCTCAAGCGATCTACACATGGCCCACATACCGCAAAGAATGACGGCCCTTTGGTGGCCCAGACCTGGTTTGCCAGAGGTGGCCCACACATGGGCCAGCACAAGGCCAGTTTCAGACACACTGGTGGTCCTTTGCTAGCCCATGTGTGGATTACCTCTGGCAAACCTGATCTGGGCCACCAAAGGGCCATCATTCATTGCGGTATGTGGGCCATGTGTAGGTGGTGTGCAGCCACGGGCCAGTTGTTGACACACTGCTTGCCCTGTGCTGGCCCAGAACAGACAGTTGTTCTGTTCAGACAGTGAATAGACTGATTTTTATATAGCGCTTTTGTACTCTCCCAGATTACTTAAAGTGCTCTATACAACATGTCACATTCACCGACTTTCGCTTAACTGAGTGCTTCCTAACTACATTCATACACATTCACACTCTTGACATGCAGACTGGAGGAGCCAGGGATCAAACCACTAACCTTCAATCAGTTTGTAACCTGCTCTACCACCTGAGATATGGCATGCCATCGCATAAACAGTGGCATCATTGCCAGACCTGGCACACATCTGGTTGATATACACTCAGCCAAAACACCAGTCAGTCAGAAATGCCAGCTTGATGCCAGATCTGAGCCAGACCTGTTTTCTGTAGGCCTGGGCCTCATAAACCAAACCACAACCAAGCCAGATATGGCATGCCATCACATAGACAGTGCCATCTATGCCAGGCCTGGCCCATATGTGGATGATATACGTCTTATCATGCCAGAAGTCAGCCAGCAGTGCCACTTGATACTAGATCCGGGCCAGACCTGCTTGCCATGTGGCCACTAACACACACACAGACACAGTTACTTTACCAACGGACCCCTGAGCTCCTAAGTGTCCCTCAAACCTCATTCAGGGATCCACTCCTTTACTTCACTGTCACTCCCTGAAAGCTCACTGTCCTCACTTTCTGAGGACAGAAAGTGCACATTCCCTTGGTTTCCTTCCATAAAAGGTATTCACATCCATGTCCTGTAATTATGAGTAGATTGTAAAGTAAAAAACATTGACTATGATCATATAAATGCACACAAACACATCTCTACACACATATGCAAATGCATTATATTGCCTGAAAAAATTGGGCTAACTGCGCAGTGTTGCCTTGAGGCAACGAATGAAAATTAACATTTTCACAGTATAAATACATTTTAAAAAGTAGAACAAACAATCAAATATGGTTCTTTACATATTCATGCACATACAAGTATTTTTTAATATACATTTATTTCACTATAAACATGTAAAATAGTGATCTTTATCTTTGCCTCCTAATAGAGATGTCTCTCATCAGAATCAGAATCAGAATACTTTATTCATCCCGAGGGAAATTAGGGGTTACAGCAGGCAGCACGCTAATGGCGCATGCGCACTCACAAAGGAACCTTCTGACCAACTTTACACAAACATCACATTGGGCAGACATGTCAGAAGGTAGGCTGATAGGAAAAAAACAACGAAAATACACTACATGAGGTAAGAGGAGGAGAAAAAAAACTCCACTCAGACTGAGCTCCTAGTGGGAGAACAGTTTGATAAAAGAAAAAACACCTCAGCACAAAAGCACATGACTATCAATACACCATAGAAACACGAGACAAGCAACAGGGCGGGTAAAGGGTAAGAGAGAGCCGGCGTAGACAGCGCATCCGGTCCTGCAGCATCTGTGCTGGTCCAGTTGACTGCTATCATCCCCGGTAGGGCACAAGCATCGAAGGCGTTGGAAAGGGAGGGGGATGAGTGAGTGCTTATCAGTGTAAGTGTGTGTGTGTGCGTGTCCATAGTTTAGCTAAGACAGTGTCCTTCGGCCTATCAGGCTAAGTAAACAGTCCTCCAGCCAATCCAGGTGTCCTTCATGGGGCGGGAAGAATAGTCATCACACAGTCGTTATCAGGGAGTTGTTTTGGTGGGCTCCAGCCTTGGGCCTGCAGCTGGGGCCGTGGTGTCCAAATGTTGAATATTGTTGATTTCTCTTTGTGAGCAGCTCGAATTCTAGCACTCCGAGGCTGGTCTCTCGATCTCCCGTTGAAGAGCTGCGAGCCTCCCCATGATGGTATCAAACTTCTGTTCCGTGGTGTTGTCAGTCTTTTGATTCTGAGACCTCACAACTGCAGTGATCCGTTCCGCGATGTTTTCCAACTGTCGCTCAAGGGTCTCATTTTGAGCAGGCCTCTCTCTGATGTTTCCCCTCATACGCTCAATGGTGTTGTTTTGAGCCTTCACAGCAGCTGTAAGCGTCTCCAAGGTGTTGACCATATTACGTTCGTTGTGAGAGGTCGCACCTCGTCCCGTCGCTTCGAATCCAGTGGGCAGCCTTGTGGGGGTTTGAACAGCCGGTTCCGCTTTCATGTAGTGCAGCTTGCCCCCCCCCCAATTAAAAGTCACACCACCTTCAACTCATCATTTTATTGGAAAGACATGTGCCTGGTGGCATTATTTGAAAAAAAGAAGGGTTTTTTTGAAGGGCCAGTGTAAAGCATGAAAATGTGGTTTGTTGCCTCAGGGCAACGCTGTGCAGTAGAGGGATAGCATGGGTTTCATACTATTTGAAGCTCCTCAAGGTACATACTTCTAAAATTAATCTTAAATTACTTTTAACGTCAGTGGTAAGAAGGACAAAACTCCATGTCAAATTCAAGCTTTAAAGAACATAATTCTAAATTTGGAGGTGTTGAACTGTCTTGATGCATTCTCAATCATCCAGGTAAGTAAATCTCCAAAGGTTGATTCTGTTCATCTGGACGTAGCGTTTTCAGTGGGAGAAACGTTTCGTCACTCATCCAAGTGACTTCATCAGTCTCAGCTGACTGCAGGTGCCCCCAACCTTATAAACAGTACCTTTGCACAATGACTGAAACTAGCTGTGAGGTCAGTTTCTTGATCATTCTGTGGGCTAGTTTCAGTCATGCCAGCTAAACAGAATTAACTTTTTGGGGTGCTCAGGCTAAGTTTTGTAGTGCATTATTATTTATAATAGATATATCTATTTGTAATATCAGCAAGCCAAAATACTAATTCGTCACAGATTATTTCCCATAGCAACATCTATTTTGCTAGAAGAAGGGGGCATCCGGATTTGAACCGGAGACCTCTTGATCTGCAGTCAAATGCTCTACCACTGAGCTATACCCCCTTATTGATGTCACCCTAAACTATGGAATCTGAAGGCATCACGTGATTCTGTGACACAAAACACAGTAAACACAAAATAAAAAGAAAAAAAAGCTAAAAATACAGAAAACTCCCCTCAAGGGCCGTGATTCCACTTTTAAACACGCAAATAAACAAACCAGCAGTTCAGGGTTACGTCTAAATTTGGACAATACTGAGCCTGTTCCCGGTGTAGAATCTTCACATCCACATTAAACAAATATG